CCACCCCTCTCCCTCCCCCCTCTCTCTCACTCACTCAAGAACGTGTTCGTTTATCTTTTTAGAAGTTCTGTAATAAGGAATATTTGTTTTAAAACCGGGCCACCTGAGCGTTGAGGATTCCCCCATGCAGTGGCGAATTCTGGGAACCCAGTCGCCCCGGGCTCCTGTAAATATTTCAAAATTATTTTTAAAGAATGGAAAGAAAACTGATCGAGAATTATATACAAATCCTGAGAGTGCCATTTCCGGCCATGTAGAAGCGACGTATATCTTAATTTTTCTTACCTCAGGCCCCAACCTTGGTGGGGTTAAGGTGTCTATCTGTGAAGGTCCCTCTCTGGGCATCCTCTATTTCGAATTTCTGGATCCTCCACTGCACCCATCTGTGCAAAGGGTCAAGGAAAATCCTGGATCCGCGCCTGTTCAGTGACACTCATAGGGTGTCTATACAACTTCTGTCTTCGTTTTTCTGTTCTTCGGTCTTTGTTTTGTAGGTGGGTTTTGTGGGTGTCAAGCGAAGACCCTTGATAATCTCAGACGTTCAAATAATCTCGTAATTTTGATTTTGTCATCGTTTTGGGGTCTTCGCGGTCTCCGTTTAATAGACACCCGAAGTTTAACTAAAGATGGGGCTTCACTTAAACGACGACAGTAGGCCCTATAACTTTCTTCTCCAGATGACCTAAAAAGAGTTTTCGCATGTTAAAGGAGACACGTGCACATCGATCCACAAAACCTTTGCTGTAGAAAGAACTTAAGTTAACAACTACACACTTCTCTAGTCAAGGCCCACGCATCTCCTCGCGGGAGTCTCACGCATTTAACTTCTACCTCACGCCCTCACACGCGAGGCCTATTATATTCTTTCGTATTCCAGAATTTCTTTAATAGGCCTTTTTTTAATGTGTTATTTTCTCAAAACAAGCATACAACATGTACAAACATGACTATCAGCGCTAGCGATCCCCTAGCGATCCCCTAGCGATCGGGCATAATTACCAACTTGAGTGATTTGAAATGCGTGACTACACCAGTTGCGGAAGGGGGATGGGGGGTACCGAGGAGCTTCCCCTCCCCCTTTCCTGGTTTCAGAGGCGGAGCCCTCGTGTGGGTAGAGGGCCCCTGGCGCTCCGACGATCTCAGCAATTTTAAGCTGTTTTAAAACCATGTCAGGGAGTGTTTGTTGACAATACCGGTACAGTAGCCACATAAACAAAAATATTTTTGATAAAGCCACGTACAATTTGATTGAAATGCCTAGGCCTATGTCTAATTTCAGCATTAAATAAGCATTTGAAACCCCTAAATTGTTATATTTTTCGGGGGCTTTGTCCCCTAGAAAACTTTTTTTCTTTCGGGGCTGTAAAGTACTTTATTTGACTAAGTGTAGGTAGGCCTATTAGGTGTCAATCATAAAGAAATATGTTATTTTATTTTGTGTTACTTGGCCTTCCATATTTCCAATCTTCAATATAATAATAATAATAATAGTAATAATAATAATAATAATAATAATAATAATAATAATAATAATAATAATAATAATAATAATAATAAAACAGCACTTATAATTTGCTGTCTATCTAGCGTGCTATTCCGAGGCACTGAGTAATTCTCCAGTGAGTTTGAAGTTAAGCTCCTCATGGCCATGATAAAGTGTGGGGGAAGGGGGTTGAAGCCCGTGGTTAGACTCGTTGTTGGGTGAGGGGTGGGGCATGCTTACCTCATTGTTAGAGCCTGCCCCTCCCCTTTTGGCTACGGAGCTGGATATCCACTCTTCTTCACGCATCAAAGAGAATACCAACA